TTTTTGTAATGGAAGACGATTGATGACTAGCTCAATTGAGATATTTATCATGTGCTAAAGCTATCTGCTCTAGAGATGATGATAAATTACGTGAAATATTTTAATTTATTTCTTTATCTTTGAAAATATTTTTAGATTTTTAGATTTTTTGTGAAATTTTTAAATATCTTTTTCGAGTAACGATTCTTTGAACTTTTTAATTAAACTTTGCTTTTACTTCTTTTAAAAATTTAAGTAATGTTCATTATTTTTGAAAGACTTTAAATTTTTGTTCTGAACACTGATATGATTTCCACTAACATGAGACATCAAAAATACAGAGGCATAACAGAGATAATTTACCGGAAATTAATTTTGTCGTGACATTTTATCTAATTTACATAATCGCTGATATCATACATCAAGTATCGTACTGGTGAAAGAGTTAGCCTCGCCTCCATGAGAGGCGTTAGAAAACAGGAGACATTTCCTTGTTAATTACTTTCTCGCCGGGACACTTACAATCTCAGCATTTTACATGATTACACGCAACTGCAAGTTCCCCGCGCCGCGCTGCGTGTTTCGTAATTTCGCATGGTGACAGGTGTTCGCGGTTTTCAACAAGGTTCTTGCAACACCGACATGACATATAAGGTAGACAGAATCCTAATTCAGGACGCTGAACTACTAAAACGTATATGTCATCGAGTTACAATTATAGAAATATTTCGGATTTATATTAAATATTAATAGTAAATGTCAAAAATATTATTAAATATGTGTTAAATATATTAACAAAGAATATATAATAAACAGGTAAATATTATAAAGTATAAATTATGTACAACATGGAGGACTGATTGAAATATCAATTATAATTCAAAATATAAATCAAAATCAATATTTTCTTAAAAGTTTTGTATTTTTACTTTTTTTTGAAATAATAACAGTGCAATAACAATTTGTAATTTTTAATGTTAATTTGCAATTTATAATGTAATTATCCATGAAATTAAAAATACAATCAGAAAAGGAACCTTTAAAATAAGCTTTAAAGTACTTTTGATTATGTAAGTAGAAATTTGTTGGCATGCTCTTACTGCATTCAGCATGCAGTTTACAATTACGACAATGTGTGTAACGTGTTAACATGATTGCAGAAAGTTGCACTGTCGTGGAATGTTGCATGAGGCTAAAAACAGTATTAGAGAAATTGTTAATTTTTTAACTTAGATATGTCAGTTATTTTAGACTGACATATTTTAATTACACGATATTTTTAAATACAATGTAAATACAATATTAATTAATTTTCATCGAGGATTGAACATTATATTTTATTTTCTATATAAAAAATAAATTGTATTAAATATATGTTATATAAATGCATTTTAAATTTAGAAAGATTGAAAATGGTTTGAATATCATTAAAATAAAATTAATTTAAAATATTAAACTCTGCCTAATAAAAGAAATTTTGTTTTGCATATAATGAATTTTTCTTGATTATTTTATTGAATATATAAAAAATATGCACGATGTTGAGATGTAACCGGTTTTACTCTAATGCAATACGGCTTGCCATTGTCTAGGCGTTCCTTTAGAATGTAATAAAAAGTTATATAAGAATGTAATATAAGAATAAAAGTTATATAAGAATATTATAAGAATGTAATAAACAGTTCTAATATTAATTTTTATAAGAATTAAAAAAATAATATTTGCATTTAAATTTTTTTAATATGTTTGCACTTATATTCGTATTATCAATAACTTTACATAAATATATTTCTGAAAATTTATTTATATTTATATAATTTTTATTATATTTATTTTTAAATATATTCAATCAAAGTTTAATCAATTTTAAATAACTGATCTTAAAATAAAGAATTTTTAAAACAATTGGAATTTTGCAATTTTTATTTGCCCATATCGTTATTTAATGTAATTTTATTTTAAATAATAATTTTATGTGATATATTTATTTTTATAGTCAATATTTTTTTGCGTTCTACATCTCTATCTTAGAGCATCAATTATGGAATAAAAAACGCGTCCATGTGATCATGAGTAATTTGATACGTTAACGATCGACCTCCTCGTTTGCAAATCGAGGGTGGGATTGCGAGATAGTTGCGAAACTGGGCGTCCCATTGTTTCATTCTTGTGTCTCGTTTCCTCTTGTGACCATTCCCACCGAACATCGTGATAATTTTATCCAACAAACGTCCGTTTTTGTCCTCTCCGACGTTGCCTTCACTTGCATAAGAACATTCAGTGAAAATCCTTGAAGGATTGTGCCAAGCGCTCCAAGCGCTCTTTATCCTTCCGGGAAGTCAATTATTTAATGCATTTTCATGTTATTTATAATTTAGGAAAATCAAAGAAATTGTTGTTTTCGTTAATAATCAACAGTCATTCTTCTTTTGCCATGTTTTTATCGTAATTGAACTACTTTTTAATTTTGAGAAATGAAAGATTCGTCCTTTCGGACAATTAATATACATTCTGAGTGCATTATATTTGTTAAATATAATTATAATTGTTATAATCTATTTAGTTTTTGAGACCGAGATAAATATAAATCCAACATTTCTAGAATAAATTTCTTCTATACAACAAAGTCCTTTTTTACAATTGGAATAAAACAATACGAATGAGAAAAAAAATCTGATCCTTGAAATGCCGCAAATTCTTTCGATCGCGAATTTCCGTCGGAATTAGAATGTTGCAGCGAACGATCAGGATCTTAATGGTCGAGGATTGACGCAGTAACTTTATAGAAATTCTCCGTGAGGATCACGAGGAAACTAGTGAAAGGTGGCAAGGAAGAAGCCACCGGTTCGTTATCTCTCTATGTTTAACATTAATACAAAATACTCTATAAATTGCATACAATAGATATTTGAAAAGATAAAAACAAATAACAACGAAATATGAGAAATGGAATTTTGAAGTATGTTAAATAAATTTGTAGGTCATTCCTCTTTTGAGTTCGAAGGTATTCTCATGTAAAAACGAATCTCCCACCCTCGTGTATTGTTACGCCTGTGTTATATAATAGCATCTCGTTGTATATCGATATGACGATTTGTATGAGACGTAGGCATCTCGTCCCGGCGACTCATCGAGAGTGTTTCACCTTTATTTTCACCGTCTCATCGCGTGAAGCTGGTCGGCCGGCCATCCGGAGAGGGAAAGAATCCGTGAAGGCCTCGTCTCGAGGCCGCTCATGCACGCAAAATAAGCGTCGCGGTTAACGGTAGCGCTTCGAGATAACGGAAAAGATACCGCCACGTGCTCTTCGAAACGCCTCGCATCGGAATATCGCGATAATCATAACGATAATAACGGTACGCGCGATAGAGATCAATTTGATTTTTTTAATTATTACTCGAAACTATGATATGATCATTAAAAGGAAATTTATTGATTATATCAAAATTATAAATCAACATTGAAATTATAACGAGCGTTAAAAAATAGATAATAATAACATTATTATTATTAATAATACATGATATTCAAAAAGTAGAATTCAGGTCATGTTTGAATTATTATATGTTTTTTTCTAATCTCTCTTTATATATAAAACATTGGTTTTGTCAGTACATTATAAATTATAAATTAGAGTCATGAATATTTCTTTCCTATTAGGAAAGTCTTCTTTCCTATTGGGAAAAAGTGCATTTCTTTTTGAATGGATTTCCTGTATATAAATAATTATAAATTTTTACTGAATGGATTTTCTTCCCAATTAACAGCAGCAAAGATTTTGCCCGCGCTCCGTGACGAGCTCGTTTTCTTCGGAATAGAATTTCACTTCCCCTCTCTTTCATGGCGGAATACCTGTTCTTCGATCATGAAAGAATACGCGTTGCAGGCTGAAACCTCGACGGTATCAACTATTAATTAGACCTGCTTCGTCGAGCCTAGCAATGTTATTTTATCCGCAGAAAATTTGTATCTAATAAATAAATAGGCGAGTATTTGAAACACGCAAGCTGTTAATACCAATTTGAAAATGATTTATATGGAGGTTTTGACAGAAGTCATGAAGTTGAAGTTTTTGTAAACAATTATTTGTGAATGATAAGAGTTTATGGAATATCTTATCTTTATCGCATGTAATTTTATAACAATTATCAATTACATTTTACATGTTAGTAGCCAATTATCGTGAATGCAACGTTGTACTTTCTATCTATTTATTTTTCTTTCTCTTTATTTTCTTTATTATTTTAAACAATAATTATTATTATTTAATTTATGATAAAATTATACATAAGAATAATTATAGAATAAATATGTTATTATAATATAAATTATAACACAAAATATTTAGACAGGATCGATTAAATCTTATTTTTCATTTTAATCTAAAGGAAAGATTTTTTTAATTTATCAAAGAAACAATTTTGAATTCCAACGCAATCTATGCAACGTAGAATTTTTTTTTATTGTATAGCTTTATTAATCAACATGTAGAAACTTGATGAAAATTTCAGTTTGATATCGAATTTTTTCTGAGATATTTGATTTAATTATTAGAATTGATATTGGATTCAAGCTTTTGTTTCTTCTTTCATTCATTTATCTTCTGATATTATTCATATATGAATAACATATATGATTCCTAATGGTTAATTAAATTAAATGAAAAATGAGGACAATCAGCGTATGAGTGTACGAGTGTCGTTACTCCCAGGAAAATACAAATGCTCATTGATGGCAATGGATGCGTTAAGCGCGTACTAATGGCCTTCCTTAACATGTAATAAATCGCCGGGTATAATAACGATTATTATTATTACTAAGGGCGCCTGCCATCGTCTTTTAGCGAATCGCATAAAGGGATTCTTTTGCGTCGGATGCATTTCGTGATCGGTATCATCGAGCGGCTATCAGAACTCTAGAACTCTTGATAGACGAAACCAGGTGTGTTCTCCAGGTAGAACCTTCCTATGCTGCCCCAGAGATCGGCTGGGGACGTGGAGTGGGGCGCTCATATAAGACACCAGACAAACGCCTCTCCCAGTGACCAGTCTCGACACGAAAACTCATCAGCCGAGCTTCCTCGGCTTCCACACGACGACACAGAGAGAAGGAGAATATATTTCTTCGGGCGTATATACCGGAATATCTTGCCAATTAGGGATTGACGTTTCGCGTTAAATCTATCGCACGTCGTTTTCTCAGGATGTCGCAGCAGATTCTTCCACTCGTCCTGGTACTCTTGGTTGCACAGGGTAAGTTCTTCTGCTTCTTCTCCTCTCCTCTTCTTTTTCTTCTTCAGCTTCTCTTTCCTCTTGGTTTTCCATTGCGTTGCCTTTGAAGTTCCGAAAGATTAATTGACTAAATGAAACATATAGATTAATATTTATGTTAGTTTGATTATTGACATTGAATATAGGTTGGTCTGCATTTACATTAATTAATTTGAAAATTTTTAATTTGTAACGTTTGGTATCGACTATCAATACTCTTAATGGGTTTTTAGATAAGATTTTCTTCATTTAAATTTTATGTAAATTTTGCAATGACATTTTGCTTTTTTAAACAAAAGTGCATTATAATAATGTTTAAAATTATATTGCTGTGATAACAATACTTTGTATATTTACATTATATTAATGTACACACAAAAATTTATATTATAATTATTTTTGTATATAGTTTTACATAAAATAGACAATAATAATTAAAATGCATTGATATTGTTTTTAAAATATATATGTTATTAATTAAATATTTGTTTTTTTTTTTAAATTCGTGATAATTCCTATAATCTTAATGGTCTCGGTTTTGATAAATGAAATATTTACATATAGAATATTTTAAATTAAATATCTTTATTTTTCCGATTTTTTAATAAAATTATGTTGTAATAACATTCATATTCTTATAATTTTTGAAAATTTATTAAATATTAATACATAATATTTTGATATATTATTTAATTATTCAAATTTAAATTTGATAATTATACTTACATGTTTTCTTAGTACTTAGTAGTTATATATTAACGAAAAACTAATTAAGTATTAAAAATTATAATTAATAATAATCTATCTTAATGATAAAAATGTAAAAAATATATTTTGATAAATAATGTTTATAAATTGTTTATATAAATATTATTATACATGTTTTTTGCAGTAATATTAAATATTCGGGAATATTTGTTCAAATAATATTACGAGAGTATCTAACATTTCTAGAAGTGGATCGCCTTTGATCTTGACTTGATCTATCGACCATTTGGCTTTCACTTTTGAGATCGGTACGTCCGCTTGGCTATCTTTATAAATAATAAGAGCCGATCAATAAAACCGAGACATGCCGAGCGAGGTGCGAGAATGAAAACGGTGAAATTTCCACGTAGCCGTTGTCGTTTGCAGTGAAACTGAAAAACCCCGTGGATCGTTCTACTTTCTTTCGTGAATCCTCGCGATAATCGCGAACATCGATTAAAGCGATGCTCTCATGTCCTTCACGAGATCGATGATTCATGATCAGCGACCCACTTTGATTTTTTACTGAACAGATTATCATTTCGTTTTAATAATGTTTATTATTAATCGCGCTATTACTTATTGCGTTAGAAGAAACTATTAAAATTAATATTCTCTATCAAATGCATTATTCACCTACGATTTGACAATTAGAATCTCTTGTTTCATTTTTATAACTAGTAATATGCAAGTTAAAATTATTGAATAATTTAATACATTAATGTCTTATTTGATAATTTTTTGATAATAGTGAAAGTAACCATGAAATTGAATTTAATTAATTAATTTTTATTTAATTAACCTTACATAATAAAATTATGTAAATAAATATTAATTGTGTAAAAATTATAATGGTATAACAACTATATTTTATTAAATGAATTTCTTTCGCGAAAGTGGAGAAAACCACCAGCATCGAGACATTTCTCATGAAATTACATAAATAATAATCTGATAAAGAAGAACAACAATGTCGTAGGGTTAGATAATGAGTTCGGTTACAATTTTCGTTGCACAATCCTCGCGACATTCGAGGCGCAGAATCTGTAGTAAATGCGGGTCCACCGCTCCATAATTATTACACGCATCTTCGTAAGAACAATGGCCATTCACCAGATTTCTCACATCTCAAGAACTTTCTCCCATGTGCCAGGAGTGAAAATATGAAAGTAGCTCAGTCTGCAGTTCACTCTCTCTCTCTCTCTCTCTCTCTCTCTCTCTACTCTCTCTCTCTCTCTCTCTCCTCTCTCTCTCTGCTTTTCTCTGAGTGTAAATCATAATGTTTACGTATCATAAATAAATATATATAAATATTTTCTATCACATTTTCTCTTGTTCATCTTGATTCGCCATCGCCAGTGATGATTTCTCGAAAATATATAGTTGTCAATAATTCAGCAACGCATTTTATAACGCTTATGCAAGAAGTCTTACTTTCTACGGCGACATTTGGAAATATTACTTCGAGATTGATCGGCAGCCACTGTGCGTAATCTTCGCGGAGAAAAGTACCATTCATTCATGCATTTATTTATTTATCTTCTTCCCACGCCCGCTTTCCCGAGAAGCCTTACATCGCCGAGTTGCAACGTTAACGTTGGCCGATTCCGGAAGTGACGGCGTAATGGCGTCGGGTAAAACGTTTCGCTCGCCTCGAATGATCGATTGGGCGATAAAAAGGGTGCAAATAGGAAGGAAAGGAGAAACCGATCTCGTAAAGATCCGTTGTTGTTCCGATCGCGCGAACGCGCTTTTGTCGAGGAACGTTGCACTTTGCGGAGTCCGAGCTGTTAAGGCGGGGCACTTGGCTTCGCGTTCCTTCGAGTTTTACCGGTCTCGGGAAGGATCGACAAGGCAGCATTGCTGATTTTATCACGAGGGGGAATGTGAGAAGGCCGAGAATGTGAAAGACAGAAATAGAAGGAGAGACTTGGATATTCGCTAAATAAGTCGAATGCATTTCTTTTCGTCTGATCTGGTAATGTGACATTTAATCCAACAGCGCGAATTTTATCAGAAAGCGTTTTTATCTTGCTTGACAGCGTGACATTTAATTGAAAATTTTGACAAACACGAGCGACCACTACTGATAAAAAAATGAAAAAAAGGTGAGAATGATATATGCTAGTGACGCATTTATCGGGGAAAGGGAGGTTATCGAAAATGAACAAGCTTAGAAGTGTTGTTTATTAATAAGCCAGATCTATTTCTCGATCTCGCTCGCAAAAATTCAGCCTCTCAAAAAGCCGCTCGCGAGACAATCGCTTTCCTCGAATTCAACGAGGAAGTTATACGGGATATTCATCCAAGCTGAGAGAGCATTTACATTTTTATCGCGCATAATTTCCGAAGTATACTTTCTAGAAATTAATGATGTTTCGTGCGCGCTGATCATCTACCGAACCGCCGATAAATCTGTACTACGCCGTGAGAATTTTTCCTGCCGCACAAAATCGATTCCCCGTAAATCCAAGCGCGAGGAACTTCCTTGAAGTCCGTCCATCGGGAGGGGGGGGGGGGCTTCGCGTTTTTTGCGCGGAGCGTGAAATCCTTGCGAGGAGCAAAGCGGAGCCGGCCGCTCCTGCTTTCAGACGACGACGAGGAATTACGGCCGCCGAGCCATTGCGGCCCCGACTACTTGCCTACGAGAGGAGTCGTAAAGGAAGGGAAAGTAACCTGGTGCGGTGTTAACTAAGCGTCTCGCTTGCGTAATTTGCCACGACGTCTCCGTGGATGTCTCCACCTATTCGCGGCACCGTGACGACCGCGCGCGCAAATCGATTGATCGCGCGCGGGTCTCGTCGGGTCCAATCGGGATTTGTCTTCTTCACTTTTCGAGCGCGAGATCGCCCTCACAGGTAGCCACGGCTCTTATTACGAACCCATGTCGGCATTTACATAATTCTCGAAGGATAATGTCTGGTAATCGCATCACTGTCTGAATGATACGTTGCAATCATCGATCACGGCGAGGATTTATTCTTCTCTTTGAGAAGAGGACCTTTTAAAGTACTTATTATTTAACGTGAGGAAAGTGAAAATATATCTGAAATAATCGATAAATTATATTTAACATATATTTGATAAACAATATTGGTTAATTTATATTTCATTTCTAAACAAGAAAACTGTAGAAGATGCTGTATGTATGTTCTTTTATCGTAAATTTTAATTTAATTTTAAAACGAATTAATATTTAACTTAAGGAACTAATATTTTTAGAATTTTAAAAATTCTACAGTTAATTATTGTTTTATATACAGCGTAAAAAACCCTTTAGACATACAAGTTATTAATCTATTTATAGGACTTACATATTGAAATTTTTTTATAATTTAGAAAAATACAGATATGTATTTAACAAGCTAGATATTATAACGACATTTTCGCTGATAATTAAGGCCAGTTTACGCAATTCGTGCCGGTGGAAACTCGCAATCTCTAGACGTCCTTTCTCAGACGGTAAAGCTTGCTTCCCCACGAGATTATTCCTATCGTGAGATCGATCATGCTTCGCTTTCCTTCCCTTATCCTATTCAGGCTAGTTAGCCAATAACGTGCAACTTTTCTATGACTAAAGATTATAATATAAAAGTATTAAGATTGCGTATATAATATATAAACATAATTATCAGTGGGATTGCCGAGATCGCTTTGTATTGTTTGACAGAATCCATTCTGTTTTATTTCGACATTCATTGAAATGCTGAAAATGTTTTTTCAAGATTTCGCGAACTTCTCTTTTTAATGTCCCAACAAAAATTCTAACATTATACTTTTAAATGTATTCTAAGCCTCGTAACTTACGTAGATTTTATGATTAGGGACAATTGTAACGTAATAACGTCAATCAAGATTGGCATGAAAATAAAAGATTTGAGGCGTGGTCATCATTAGAAATTCCTTGCGAAATGATTTTAGAGATAGGGTCATGATCTTTCGTTTCGTTCCGAGCACCGAGAGACGGAATCTGTCGAAGATTCCGGTCGGTTGCCCTCTGAAGATCTTTTATCTTCATCTCAGACTCGATCTACAGATCCTGAGAGAGAGAGATTGAGTAAGAATGAGAGCTTTATTTCAATCTTAAATTAAATCTCCTAATGGTGAGCGAGCGGCACGATACTTACAAGTCGAGAAAAAAAGACCAAGAGAAAGAAAATAAGAAGAAATAGAAACTAAAATTGAAATCACCGATGAATAGTTGATAATATATGCTTTCATAAAGTAAGATGAATGAAGTTAATAAAAATTCTTCCTCCTGCAAACTATTTAACAAAATATTAAATATAAAAATTTTTCCTCCTGCAAAAACTTCTTTTAACAAAATATTAACTTTTTAAAAAATTCATTAAATAAAAAATCAGTATTTGAAATTAGGACAAAATGAAAATTAAAGCAAATTTTAATTAGAAAAAAATTAGGATTGAATAAATATGTAGGAATAAAGATGATAAATATGAAGGAATAAAATTAGAGTAAAGATAAAATAAAATAAAACAGAAGATTAGATGGAGAAAAATTTACAATATAAATTAAGTGAATTGAAGGAATGTCCTTTTAAATGGAATTTAAACGCAGGATGAGAACAACATCAGATGAATCTACTAGTTGATCGAATCTTTCCTACATTAAAGGGGGATCGAGGGGGTCCATAAAGGTGGAGCAGAGGTGTGGATCAGGACTGCTCCCGAAGGTTGCAAGTCAAGGCTAGACACTTTCACTCGAGAGCAGTCTTGGGAGCGTGCCTCATGCTGGCTTCCCACCTTATTTTACTATTTGCTTTTCCGTCGAATCATTAGCGAAACGATCGAGCATTACAATAAAACAGTAGTTTATGTTGGGCACTTTCGATTCGTGCATGCATTTTCGACGCAGTTTCTGAACGAAAACACGACGATCTTCTTAACTTTTTACTTAATTGGAATTAAGAATAAAAGAAGTAAAAATATAAAAGAGAGGCCCTATTCCAAAACCTCTGAAGTTTTTTATTTCGAGGACTCAAATGGTTGAATGATAGGGAAAGATTGGACCCTCTAAAATGATAATTTGAATCACAAAGAATACTTTTGAGAGCCTTCTAGGAAAAGTTATAAAATATTCTTGTATAAATTGAAATTAAAATAATATCTTTATATCTTTACGATAGGAATGTCTTGAAAGAACAACATCGTCAGCATTTAAGTCTCTACTTTTTGCTTTTGATGTAGATATTTTTGCGCAAGGAATTGGTTATAATTTCTCTTAAATTGGCGAAAGAAATTCGTGATGTCATCCTGCTATGAAATATTTTTCTATACAACGCGGAAGAAAGATGTGCATCCTAGTCATCTATCTCATATTAATCGAACGAGCGGTATCCTTGAGCAATGAATTAATTTTGCATATAAGGATGGCATCAACTTTCGAATTGATTCGATGGATTTCGATTTATCGCGATGTTAAATAATTTTAGAATTGCACGTTGCCAGAATCAAATATATATATATATATATATATATATATATATATGCGCCGT